AAAAAAAAAAAAAAAAGAAGCTGAATTACGAGTTTCCATTCATATTTCTTATTTAAAGTCATCTAACCCTTTTAAAGACTACTACTATTTATTAACTTTAAACACAATAATAGATGTGTGAAATTCACAAACCTCAAGGGCATTAGATATTCCTGGAATTGCTGATACATCACCACCAATAACTTTGAGGGTAAAGTCCAGATTTTTCTGCAGGCAAAAATTAGAAGGTCAACTGGATAAACAAATGCTTGTTTACGTAATACGAATTTATTCACATATCTCTGAAAATATGCAGGTAAAAAATGCACTCATTTGTGAAAATTTTAGCCTTTGTAGCCTTCTGAATTATGAAAAATTGTCATTAATCTGTATGAAATGAAGTTAAAAACACTTAAGGGTTTGTTTGGTCTAAAAGTTTTGTTCGTTACTGCATATGAAATATGCTCTTAAAGATATTGATAACGTCCATGATGAAAATTTACTGCAGTCAAAATTCGTAGCGTATTTTCAGAGGAATAAAGAGCAAAAAAAGAGTTCATGGCTCACCTTTTGTCGTAAGGAATAACAAACAGCCCCAAAACAAGGGAATTCATCAACTAGTGGTTTGAATATTAACCTGAAAACCCCAGTAAATCCAATGTTCTTTACCTACATTGAAAAATAAATGAAAATCTCAATATGAATATCTTCACTGCTGCAAATATTTCTGAGATATAGTAAGGGACATCCTCATGTTATTGGTTTCTACTAGTGAATCTCCCCGTATGTTTGCAATAAGAACAAAACATTTTACACTTGGGAGTAGTCTAAGTTAATGTGTTGTTCAATTTTTGATGTCTTTTCCGTATTTATTTTATCAATTATTTTTATTTTCTTCGTGACTTACTGTCAATACCATCGTAATTCTCTACTCAAAGAATGACGAACTGCACATTGATTTTTACAATTGTGTAACACAATTTCATTTGCCTAAGAATCAAACAATCTGAAGAATGTGTCATAATAGCATAGCAACAATGACACAGTAAATCATGTTTTAGATACCCCACGTGCGAAAATAATGTATATTTTCTGTAGTTCTAACTGTCTTCGTTTTTGAATCTGTATTTCGTGAGCTAGTATACTCATCATTCAGAGAGAAAACATATATAGGATTGTATTAAGTTGGAAAAGAACCTGTACTGGTAATGCCACACCAACTCTGGTTTTAATATCAAGGACTATATTAGGATTTCCATCCCACTGCAACTCTAATTCCATAACAATTTCCCCAGGCTCACTTTTAAGCATGGAAACTCCTAATAGAGATTAACCACGTTGTAAGAGCATCAAGAATAGTATGAAATAAAAAAATTTGTTCATTGTAACTTGCAATCCTATTCAATACTACGTACCAAAGATACAGCATATGAAAAAGTAATTGAGCTAACCTGTGAATTGTGGAGCCACATTACCCAAAGTCAATTTGGAAAACTTGAGAGCAGCAAAGATTACTGGTCTATATTGCTCAAGAATTGGCTCGACAGAACTTCGTATTAGCTCTGATGCTGCCTATGCAGCCAAAGAATTTCTCAGAAATAAAATCTACATATTAGAAAATAAACCAACAGGTTCCATGCTCTAGGATTTAAAGGGAAAAAGAAGAATGACCTCATTAACATATGGCCATATTTTGTCAAGGTGATGATTAAGCCATTTTAACTGAAAATAAAAAACAGGGAAAATCAACATACTTGTACAGAAAATGGATCACGTGCACAATTTTCATAAAAATCCGTAGTTTTTGAGAGTTGAACTCAATATTTTTGCATTTTCGTTAAAAATCAACTCATCCAAACATTTAAGGTGATGTAACTCAACTTCTGTTGCTGCGAAAAGACAACCCAAGAAGGGTAAAACTCAGGGGGTAGAATTTTTCTTGAATCTTGAATTGTCATCTTTGCAAAAGCTGCAATTGCAGCAGCCTGATACATTTATGAACAAAAAAATAAATTCAAGAATAATTACCCGAAATCTAGACATAAAACGTATTCATACAGATATTAACACGTGATACTTGCATCAACTTACATGCACAAAACAAGAATGTAGATATAAAAAATTGGAAGAATACCAAATCAGAGCGCCGTTTGGATCTGACATTCTGGCATCGAGCAAAACCGACGACCAAACAAATTCCCAATGCAAAACCCAGAATACAACCTGCTAAGAATCCCATCTATGTATCAACAGAAACTATTAATTAATATAAAAAAGCCCAGAAACTATTTCAATCCATTTTTACAGATTTTCATCGAAGAAAACCCATGGTAGTTCATCATTGTATTTTGTTTGAGTATTATTCTGAAAAGAAAACTCATAATCTATTCTTTTCTTCTCCTCCTTGCAACATTCATGGATCGTTGCACATGTAATTTTTTATAATAATAAGTAATTTTTAATAGTATTTTAAAGGGATATGATATTGTACTCGAAGAATGACGAGATCTACTATTTAGTGATGTGTCAGCAAGAATCAAACGGTATTACCGGTCAAACTTTTTACATGTTCTATAACCCTTTTGCTCAAAAAATAGAAAAATAAATTTAGAATAATGAAATCTTCAAAAAGTCACTTTAACTTGAATACAAGATAGATAATTTCAACCATAGAAAGCATCTTTGTTTGAAATACATGAGTTATTAGCAAAAGAATTATCTGTATCATGTTTCTACTAATTTTGGTGAGAAGAAACGCACGCTCTTCTTCAGTTAACTGATCAATATATCTTCTGTTAATCCCAAAAAATGGTCCGATGACATGGCCAATAGATAAGTAGAAGCAAATATCCACGTAAGCTTACACCCAATACGTTTATGACTTAAATCACCCGTTTCTCAGATGAATCGATGAAGGGAATGATCCAAAATATTTAGTAAGTTGCTATTTGTGGTTGGTTGGTGCATAAAAAGGGGGTCGGCCTTTGGGTGTAGTAGAGAGAGTCAAGGTTTTCTTTTAATGTGTAAACTTGCCTTCTCTTCCTTAATGTATGGAGTGTGGGTTTTTATATCTAATGTCGAGTGAATGAGGTCCATCCGATGGTAGAAGATCTAATGGTACTTATTAGTGTAAATCAATCAATCAATCAAGCCATTAATACTGAGATCCACTTTTCTTCACTTAGGATTTGACAGCGTAGGTGTGCAGAGGTGACACTGACAGTGTGTTGTCTAGTCAATCACTATATTTTGTCTGCTGTTGGTTGACTTATTGCCTCGCCAGAAATGAGTTTATACTAGAGACCTCTGCCAACAGGGGATCGGATGAGCAGCTTTTAGGTTGGGTTCGCTTCGGCAAGCATAGAATCGGGCAGCCCGTTTGCCACGTGGTATGATTATTTTACGATTATTTATATGAGTAACATCTTCAATAAATTTTTAAGCTCCATCAAAGAAGGATGATAGGGTTAGGATTCCCAAACCATGAGATAAATGAAACTCGCAACAATATAAGGGATGAGGGCATGTATCTAATCTCCGAAAAGTAACAAATGTAAAGAAAGTAGTGAATGGGGATTTACTTCCTCGCATACAAAGAAAAAGTAGCAATAGTAGACTAAAGACCTCTAACCCTAAGGATGTTATGAGCATGTTTGAACCTTATTTTTTTCAAAGAATGCATTTTGGAATATTAGATTGATAGAAAATATATAGTTAAAAAATAAGAAAAGTTTCGGATTTACGTGTAATATTATTTTATTTTAGAGTGCGTGGTTGAAAAAAATAGGGGAAAAATATATTTTGAAAATAATGGAGGATCAAACAATGGCTATATTTGTCAATATAAACCAGAGTACGTAATTATAAAGGGAGGTCAATGGGACCACACTCCTGATGGCGACTTTGTTCTCATCCCATAGTGACAAGTGAGTCGGTAAAATATTTCCTCTCATGGTATATGTGGAAAATCAAATTACGGTAAAATGAAAGGTGATGTCTGATGTGTATGAACAGGGGTGGACCCAGCACTCGGCAAGCTCCGATGGCCGTGTGTGCTGGATCCGTAGGGAACAATTTTTTTGGGTTGAAAATGAATAAACGTTTTACATTATATACCTGGTAATTTGATTTATTTTCAAAAATTTCTTGCAGCTCAGTTGGATAAAGCTCCTATATTCATGTGGGAGGTCTTGATTTCCAATCCTTTTCCCACTGTTTTTATTGTGTAAGATTTTTAATACTTTAATTTTTACATTTTACCAAAATTAAATGGGATGGAGAGATGATTCGAAACCGTGACATCTCATTTTATTGTGTAAGATTTTTAATACTTTAATTTTACCTTTGACCAAAATTAAATGGGATGGAGAGGTGATTCGAAACCGTGACCTCTCCTTAGGCTGGTGAGAGCTTTACCATTGAATTTGATTCTAATCCTACCATAATAATATATGTTACTTTTTACCAGGTTTGATGCAATTCTAAAATTGTTATATTTAAATTTTAGATCTTGTTTGATTTTTTTTTTCAAAATACATTTTTCTTCCTTCTTTCAATCACACATTTTTCAATAAAATAATATTACATTCAAATTCAAAACTTTTTTTAACCACATGTTTTCCATCAAATCACTATTCCAAAATGCACTTTTGACAAAAAAAAAAAAAAAAAATGGGCATCAAACGTGACTCTTAATATTTTATTGCTGATAACGGTCAACGTTCCACGGCCGCCCGTGCTGACCTAAAATCCTGGGTCTGTCACTGCGTATGAGAGTGCCCCGTACATACTAATTCTCATTTAAAGGGTTTCAAAAGGTTTATATAGAAAGTTGGATTTACACGTAATTTGCTTGCCATCTTCAAGTGACAATCGATCTTTTGCAAGGGTTTTTATCTTTAAGAGAGTCCTTGTGTTGTCTGAAAGAACTTTTGCTTTTATTTCTATTCATTGTAAAAGAGATGCATGATGTTATTATCTTATAACGACTTCCCCGAAAATTTATTCTAGTCAAGAAAAACACTTTCAAAATTTAGTAAAACATGTTCAAAATTAACTCATCTTAGAAGTAACCTTTAACTTTCCAAAAACATTGCCAAAACGGCCCATTTGTATATCAAATTAGTCCTTTATAACTTTTCATTTTGTTCCATGGAGTCAATTTCAACAACACTTTATACTTTCACTCGACTTTAAAGTGCATTCGATCCTTTTTAGCATACTCCTTAAATGCATTTTTCTTTTTTATCTTTAGACTGCTCTAGTAATTGGTGGAATATTATGCTCCTGTTTAGTATGGATTAAAATCAGATTTTATGTAGATTTTGATAAAAGTTATGAATGTGTGGTTGAAAAGTTGTGGGTACCATAAAATGAGTGATTAAAATTAATTGTTAATTTTAATTGGATTTTAATATAAACCAAACATGGGCTATACTTCAATGGGAATGGAGAAGAGAACAAAAATGAAGAATCAAGAACATCAAAATATGATATAAATGCTCAAACACGTGATCGTTGTAATCAAACGAAATATTTGCCGCTTCTAAGATTTAATTAGTGCTTAAAGGGACCCTTGACAAATAGTATGTAAGATTCATCAAGTTTTGAAGAAGAAAATATTTGAGCATTAGTATTTTACTTTCAAAATTTAGAGCATGTTTGGGAGTGACTAAAATCCAATTAAAATTGAAAATATAGTCGTTATTGGGTCTCACTCGTCTAATAAAAGTTAACAATAATGGCTAGTTTTTTAATTTTAATCCGATGTTAAAACTATCTGTTCCAAAAAAATTACCAGAATTCACAGGCTTCTAGAGCTACTTCATCGTCAGAATCCTTGTTAACTACCAACATATATTCCACTACATTCCTTAAATGTGGGTGCATAATTAAATCGGGAACTATATAAGGGAACAACAGCAGGTGCAAATAGGAATATTGGTGAAGAATAAATTGTCAATTATCAAATAAATCGGGAACTATATAAGCATTTTCCCCATACCTAGCGAATCAAATAAATATAAATCATTCAAAACTTCAATTGATCAATTGTTGGTAAAATTTTGTTAAAAATCACCGTGTTCGTCTCTTCAATGGGTCGCCGGCGTCGAAGAGAGAGAAGGCAGAGACGGGCCCAATGGTGCATCTCCTTCGTCGCCGGTTGCAGTGGGTTGCCGGCTTCGAGAAGAGAGAAGGAAGAGATGGTTCTCAGCCTTTTCCAATTTTGGGCAATTTTGGAGTGTTTCCCGTGATTTCTAATTTTGGGGTGTTTTGCACAGAAACGTTCAAAATGATAAAAATGCCATTTTTTGTTTTCAATACAATATTTTTTTTTTAATTTTCAAAAACACGTTTTCGAAAATAGGAAAGAGAATGCGTTTTAAATGTTTTGGAAAATCGAAAACAGAAAACGGCTTGAAAACGACAAAGAGAACATGCCCTAAATTTCTTTGATTATTAAATACAATTTAGATACTCGTATTATTTTCTAGAAAAAGATTTAAATATTGTTTCAGAAACAAAAAAATAAAAAACTATGAAGAATTATTGGGGGAATCAATAGCAGAGACTCATAGTGCTTATTTGAAAGAAAAAGAAAAAGAAAAATAAATAAGGGAAAATTCCATAACGAAGAAGTTTAGTTTTATCAATTTCGAATTTAAGAAACTAAGTTTAAAATCTCAAAATTTTTAAAATTATATTTATAAATAAATCAATTAAACATATACTTTATTAATTAAATATATTAATATCACAATTTCATATAATTTGGTTTCAAATTCCATATAATTGGTCACAACTAATAATTTTATGTTACAAATTATTTTTCGGCCACAATTCATATATTTAATAGATCACAATTTATTCATCGGTCACCAATAAAAAATTGAATCGTCACAAATTATTTCATTGTCACAAATCAGAAATTTTATAGGTTACAAATTATTTTACGGTCACAATTCCAAAATTTTATAGATCACAATTTATTCATCGGTTACAAATCAAAAATTGAAATGTCACAAATTATTTTACAGTTACAAATCAGAAATTTTATAGGTCACAAATTATTTCGAGATCACAAATTAAAAATTTTATATGTCACAATTTAATTCATTGGTCACGAATAAAAAAAATTATAGATCATAGTTTATCGATAGGTCACATATTTCCAAATTTCTTGGTCACAAATTATCGAAATTTAAGGTCACAGATTAATAATGAGTCACAATGAACCAAAATGTCGGTCACATACACCAAACACCCCACCCCTGCCCTTACCACAACACCACCAAAACCACCACTGTCGCCCCTTTCACAACACCACCACAACCATCGCCACAATAATAACAAAAAACAACTACAACCATCTCCACCACCAACCACCACCGCACCACCCGCAACCGTCACACCACCACCACCACCAACACCAACAGAAATGTACCACCAACACCATCACCACAACCACCGTCATCACCGCCACAGCTACCATCACCGCCACAACCCAAGATCAACTAATTGAGCGTTTTACCTAACTACTAAAAACCTCCAAAAACCTTCTTCCCACACCAAATCCATCACTAAAGCTCCACCCATGAACCACCCAAAATGCCACCCAAATCTGAGATCCATACTGCCTCAGCCAATATCGACGGCACCACCAAATTCGCCGCAGCATCCGACTCCAATGAACTGATCTTCCACATCTTAAAGGTCATCCTCGCCATGCGCAGCGGGAAGCTTGCTCGGTAAGCATCGCTCCACAGCTAGGAGCCTGTTCGGCTGCTACGTACAGTGGCGTGAGCACTACATCAGTATCATCATCACAATGGAGCTCCTCATGTCCGGTGGTTGTGTGCGAGAGAGCCTTTCCAGTAGTTGTGTCATTTCCAACTCCCACCATACTCACTCATGTGTGTGTGTGAGAGAGAGAGAGAGAGAGAGAGTCTCTCTCTCTCTCACACACACTATGTGAGAGAGAGAGAGAGAGAGAGAGAGAGAGAGAGAGTATGGTGGGAGTAGGAATTGAGTTTTATAAAATTAAATTATAATAAGATACATTTGAAATAATAAACATAATGTCTGATATTTGAAATCAAATCTTAAAAAATTCGTGTCAATGTAATTTTCACTTTTTTGTACCATGCAATCGCATGGTCCAAAGCATTTGTCTTCAATTTATAGCCCATTTACGATAAATGATTTAGAACAATAATTCAACACTAAGTATGGTATTTTCTTTGAACAAAATTTATATGTTGTAAGACATAGACTCCACCCTCCCTGTTTGTCCACTTCATGCATTGCCTAAGGTTGTTGCATCGTAGTAAACTCTAAAGGGTTCGATTTTATGGAGAAAACGGTGGACATTGTAGAAAAAATGAGCTGTTTCCAATAGTTCAATTCAATTTATTTTTTTCACTAACTATTGCATAATAGGTAATTACTTTCTGCTCCATTCTATCTTAATGAGAATCACTCGACCACGACGGTCTCATAGGTAACTCTCAAAGTAAGACCCAAATGATTAGTATTTAGGTTACACAACTGACTTATTATATTAAGGAATAAACCATGTATATATGTCACTGTCCGGTAGGAATTAAAATTTAGATTTTAATCTAAGTTCGAGTCAACAATTAATTTTAATTACACATTTCATGGGACTCACAAATTTTCGACCATAATCTCATCAAATTTTATCAAAATTTTTACTAAAAATCCGATTTTAATATTTACCAAACAAGTGTTATACGGTGTGAGTGACGGTAGGTAAGAATATGCTACTTCCACATGTAGTAAGTGAGATGTATTCATCACGTTAGTCACGATGTAATATCATGTCATAATCGATCCCCAATAGATTACTGATTTGTGGTCGACTTAGGCTGTATCATGAGACCGATTCAGCAACCATAGCATAATCAACTCGATATGTTGGCCATATCTTTGGGTTTGAACGAGTCGGGTTGAAATCCTATGAAGGGAGTATCAGTAGCTAAATCCCCTCACATAAAACTCTATCTCACTACTTGTATTTCTAGTAAAATATTGGTTTAACAATAACAAAATGTGTTATATTTAGCCCCATTCGATGGGTATTAAAATCAATTTGTAGTAGATTTTTATGAAAGTTGATGAAATATGTGACATTAACAAAATTATAATATTTATCCCCGTCTGAATGTGTATTAAAATTAAAAATTTAAGTAGATTTTGATAAAAGTTGATAAAGTATGTAGTTAAAAAATTATAGATTTCATGAGATTTGTGGTTAAAATTAATTATTAACTTTATTTTATATTAAAATTTAGATTTTAATCAGTACTAAAATTAGTAACTTATTTTTCATTATATTTTACAAAAACAAATTAATAAAAAATACGAAAAAAATATTTTTCTCTTATTTTAAAGTATGGAAGCAAAATATTTTGACATAAATCATTATCAACGATGAGATGCACTATAAGAATTCAACCAAAAAAAAAAAATAAATAAATTGCTATAGAAATTGAAGATCTTAATGCAATTAAAACGTAGTGTATGATAAATAAATAAAAACTATTATTCCTTTCAATATAACCACCTGTGACTTTCGTCTACATCCTGTGTGTGTGGAGTCCTTTGCGTCATTTTTGCAGTACTGCACTCTCCACTACCAGAAATACTGCTACTAAACCGTCGCTCTCTCTCTCTCTCTCTCTCTCTCTCTCTCACACACACACACACACACGCTTCTTTTCTTCATTGTTCAGTTTCTATACTATCAATTCGATATTTTCAATCTACAGGAATTTGTACAGTACACGCTTATAAATCAATCACTAATCAGTAAATACTGAATAAATACAGCATTTATTCGTATGTGAATCGCAGCATTAAGACCTGAGGAATTTTCAGCTTTTAAGTCTAAAAAATGGCAGGAAACGACTGGATAAACAGTTACTTGGAGGCCATCCTGGACGTTGATGCAGGGATCAACGATCAGAAATCCTCGCTTCTGTTGAGAGAGAGAGGTCGGTTCAGTCCGGCTCAGTACTTTGTCGAAGAAGTCATTACTGGATTCGATGAGACGGATCTTCACCGTTCTTGGGTTCGGGTAAGATCACGCGGAATATATTTCCATCTATTAATTTGATTTCTGTTTCGAATTTTTAATCGATTCAAGTTTGTGTTCCTGTTCTGATTATTGATACATTGAGGACATAATCATATATAACTTGAATCAAATTATACATTTCAACATTCGCGTTTTATTAATCTCGATACATCCATATATTCAAGTGTACTGAATTTCAAATCATTACGTTTATCGGGAATTGATTTTCCGAGCTCCACGTACTACGGTACAAACACCGAACCTTAACATGAAATTTTGGAGTGCATTTAACATTTTTCTTTGACTTGCATTGAAAACTTGATCGTATTTTTGAATTTCATTTTCTATTGACTTTCATTCTCCCATAGGGTGTACATTTCTAACACACAATATTTCTATATTTTAAATATATTAAATTTGAAGCTGTCATTTGCATTAAACAATTAATTAACTTTCATAAGGTCAAATAAATTCTGAAAAAAATGTGTGAGTTCTAAAGAAAGGGCCGGTCGACGGTCAAGCCAGCTGAAATAATGATTTATGCGTGCATGCATGTATTTTGTAATGCATCGGAACTGGAAGTAGTTGATTTTTGGTTGAAAAATGTTTGCAGGCATCAGCCATTCGGAATTCTGAGGAGAGGAATACGAGGTTGGAGAATATGTGTTGGAGGATTTGGAACTTGGCTCGCAAGAAGAAACGTGTATATTTTTATATTAGTTGATAATTTCCACTATATTAAATTACTTCTAATCTTAATCGAAGAGGATTACTTGACTGTTCGAGTTGACTGGTCAACAATATGTATTTATTTATTTAAACACATGACTAATATTAAAACATGCATGGTGGTTTTAAAAGTTGGGATTGACTGAATAAACATCCTACTGTATTCAATTTTGGTTAACAGTAACCAAATTTGTGTACAAGATACTAATCCTAATGTGCCTTCAATGGTAATTTTTTTCCTATTCCTTGCTACATATTTCTTCAGATATACTTTTAAGTAATCTATACGCTGTTTCACATTTTCAATTGGTTTTATATCTAGATTGAGGGTGAAGAAGCGCAGCGTAACACTAAAATGCATATTGAACGTGAAAGGGCTCGCAGAGAGGCGACTGCTGATATGTCAGAAGACTTATCAGAAGGAGAAAAGGGTGATACAGTTGGCGATCTTGCTCGTGTTGATAGCCTCAGAGGGAGAATGCGAAGGGTCAGTTCAGTGGATATGATGCCAAACTGGGCAAGTCAAAATGAGGAAAAGAAACTTTATCTTGTGCTAATCAGGTTTGTGGTTTCTGCTAATATATGATGTGCTATAAAGGTTTGGGATGTAGACACTGAAATATCATTTTCTATATTCAGAACTATTTTTTAAACAAGTTCAATAAGGCATGTAGAGTAAAATTCTTTTTTAAATGGAAGCATATTATATTTTAGTAACTTTTTTTAAATGGAAGCCTGGTGAACAAATAGGTTTCACTGTTTATTTATTGACAATAACCCTTCTTACAGTCTTCATGGCTTGATACGTGGAGAAAACATGGAGCTTGGTCGGGATTCTGATACAGGTGGTCAGGTAGATTCCGGCCTTTCTTTCTGCAAATTTTGATTTACTTGGTTTCACTTCTAATTTTCTTTCAATTCCTCCCAATGATATATGCGTCCTATTCTGTATACTTAGGTCAAGTATGTTGTGGAACTAGCCAGGGCCTTGGGTGCAATGCCCGGAGTTTATCGTGTTGATTTGCTAACAAGACAAATATCAGCACCAGATGTTGATTTTACCTATAGCGAGCCAATAGAGATGATAGATCCACCCAACTCTGACAATCCCATGAATGAAATTGGGGAAAGTGGCGGTGCTTATATAATCCGTATACCATTTGGCCCAAAAGATAAATACATTTCCAAAGAACTTCTCTGGCCACATATTCCTGAATTCGTTGATGGTGCACTTAGCCACATTGTGCAGATTTCTAAGGTGCTTGGAAAGCAGATTGGCAGCAGAGATCCACTCTGGCCTGTTGCCATTCATGGACACTATGCAGATGCTGGGAACTCTGCTGCTCTCCTATCTGGAGCTTTAAATGTGCCAATGATATTTACTGGTCACTCACTTGGACAAGACAAGCTCGAACAACTCTTGACGCAAAGGCGCCAATCAAGGGAGGAGATCAATGCGACGTACAAAATAATGCGGCGTATAGAGGCCGAGGAAATATCTCTTGATGTATCTGAAGTAATTATTACTAGCACAAGACAGGAGATAGAAGAGCAATGGCGTCTATATGATGGATTTGATCCAGTATTAGAGCGCAAGCTTCGGGCACAAATCAAACGCAATGTGAGCTGTTATGGCAGGTCCATGCCTCGCATGGTTGTAAGTCAAACAAATGTCTTTTTTGTTTACTTGAATATCTATTAGTTGTTTTTTTTTTTCATTGTTAGAAATTCAATATACTCATGGATTTATTTATTGAAGTACTAGGTGTATGGAAGTAATGTATGCATTATAAGGTGCCAATATATGCATGGAAGTTGTTCATGTGTTCGTTAAGATCTATGATAAAGGTAGTTATAATTGTATTAATGATTTAGAATAATCTATGTGCAAGTATGAATAGGGAATCATATATATTTTATGTTAGTTAAAGAAGCTCTAAAATTAGCCACCAACATGGCTTATATAGTATGAAAAATAGTCACCAAAGTAATAGCTGTGATGGCTAAATTGACTTACCTCATCCTCTCCATGTTATCAATGAAATCCACGGCTCTCTTTAAACTGAACGCCAGTCTGCCTCCCTTTGGTCACATATGTTAGTGCCAAGCTAACATGCAGTCTGACATTGCACCATGAAGGAAAATTTAAGGCTACAATGATGGACTAATCCAGAAAACAAAGTTTTGTTGGTGATGTCAGTAATTAATCTTGATTCAAGCACTTACTGGTGAGATGTCCATCGATGTATACCAGTGGTTGTAGATAAATGGAAGTATTTTTATTTATTTATCAAGAATTATCTTAAAGATGGTTGGACGTTTAGTACTGGTCTAAAATAATATATGTGTAAGTTTACACAGCCACAGGGGATCAGATATCATTTGTAGGTTAGCCAGGGAAGCTTCAATATTGAACCACCAATGTGGGCAATCTAGGAAGAAAAACAGCTATCAAAGTGACAACAATAGTGGATAAATTGATGGACTTCATCCTTTCCAAGTTAACAATGAATCTACAATTTTATATGGCATGAAAATTGCCCACATTTGAGACACTAGTCTCCTTGTCTAAATTTGGAGTCACTTCCTTTTCCTCTTTGAATGCGCTTCCATCTTTTATTTGTTTTGGTCTTCTTCATCTCTGATATATTTCAATTCGTTCAGGTAATTCCTCCAGGAATGGAATTTCACCATATCATTCCACATGGTGACATGGATGGAGAAGTAGGAAATGAAGATAGCTCCGAAACTCCAGATCCATCAATTTGGTCAGAGGTATTCCCTATTTTCCGAACATTTTGTTGTGAATATGAGCAATTATGTCTAATGAATCCTTGTTTCCAAGTAACTGTTCCATCATCCTTTAATTGATATACCCTTTTTGGGAGTGTTTTTATCCTTTTTAGTGAAATAATAATCTTGAAGTCATTTTTAACCCAGCTTTTTGCATTGCCTGGCAGATAATGCGCTTCTTTAGCAATCCACGCAAGCCTATGATACTTGCTCTTGCCAGGCCAGATCCAAAAAAGAATTTAATCACTTTAGTCAAAGCTTTTGGAGAGTGCCGTCAACTGAGGGAGCTCGCAAACCTTGTATGTATTCAGTTATCGAATTACACTGATATTATGCGGAAACAAGTTGTGGAGTAAGTGAAAAGGCTCATTTCTAGGGGTTCTTTTTCATTTCTATTTCAACAGTCTTGAATTTGACTTTCTGCAGACATTGATAATGGGAAACCGTGATGCAATTGATGAAATGTCAACTACAAATTCATCTGTTCTTCTTTCAATACTTAAATTGATTGATAAATATGACCTGTATGGTCTAGTTGCATATCCCAAACACCACAAGCAATCTGATGTTCCTGAAATATACCGTCTGGCTGCAAAAACAAAGGTATGCCATTGTTGTTTTCTTATCCAGTTGAGGTTTGCTTTTGACTATCTGTTGACTGTTGCCTCCTTAATAGTCCTTCATTCAATGTGCACTTGTTTGGACAATTCCCTGTCTAATGTTCATTGACTTTCACTCCTCTCAGTGATGACAGTCACATATTCTCAGGATTTCATTTTTTGGCTCTTAAGTAGAATTTAGGTTCATAGTAATCATTTGACATTAGTAACTTCATAGGTGTCATGGGGTATATTATAGTTTTGAATTAAGTTAGTTGTACACCCTCATGTGTAGGAAATCTGGTTATTTATTGAAAAGAGTGACGTCAAAATCAATATATAAAAAGATTGCCAACACATATGATGTCAAACTTGTTTTATAAATATAGCAAGATTGTATAATTTTAGCTAGAAAACAACGTTTTGTCACAACTTGCATATGGGATGTCTGGGACAACTGACGCCGATAAATTTATAAATGATTTATAAACAAGAATAGTAGTGGGTCTTACAAACACGTGACCCACCAACTTTCAAAATTGAGTTTTTTTATTTTTTTTTAAAGGAGAAATTCAAAAATAAATTAAAAACATTGGCAGCCAACCTTACTAATAACCTTGTAACATATCTCTTTTATGATTTTTTTTTTTCTCTTCTTCTCTCAATTAATTATCCACATGCTATCATATTTGTTTTCGCTAGGAATTAATCAAGAAATACATAACCTCCGTTTGATGGGAATTAAAATCAGATTTTTAATAGATTTTGTTAAAAGCTGACGAAATATGTAGTTAAAAAATTGTGGATTCATAAAATATATAGTTAAAATTAATTTGTTAACTTTGACTTAAATTAGAATTATTACCAAACAGGGGCATAATTTATAGTAGCATTAAGCCCCTTGTTTGTTTGGTAGAGATTGGAATAAGATTTTTAACAAATTTTGATAAAAGTTGATGGAATATGTGGTTGAAAAGCTGTGAATCTCATAAAATGTGTGGTTTGAATTAATTGTTGATTTTAATTTTAATTTTAATTTTAATCAGATACCAAACAAGGGCTAAATATGGGTCTTAATTGTCTCAACTATCAAGCCATGATAAGGACATATTTAGAACAAAATCGTAGAGATTTCAATTAATTAATGTGGAGAAACCATATTCAAGCCTATGGTTGGCAAATTGGCGATAATTTTTTTGCAAGTTAGATTATGCCCCCATAACACTAAATGTCTCCGTCCACCATTGCTTACAAAATGTGTGGAGAAGGAGTAGTAATGGTTATGAATATGTGATTGAAACTTGTTTGGCTTTGACTATATTTATAAATCAATTTATAACTTTTATTCAAACAGATTGTAAGTTAAATGCTGAGGACAATTGGTATATCTCGTCACCAAACTAGTGAGAGAAAAAAATCTCTATGAAGATTATATTGTTCTGATGTTCACTGGGAGACTTCTTGCAGAATTCGTTGGTTGATTTATAAATTCTGTTTTCTTTTGTAGGGTGTCTTCATAAATCCAGCTTTTATTGAGCCATTTGGTCTTACTTTAATTGAGGTGCTTTCCAAGTGCTGTTGTTACAATGTTCTTATGTTATGTTTAGTGCTAGTATTTATTTAGTAAATGCGTCCCATTTTCCTTCACACAGGCAGCAGCTTATGGTCTGCCTATTGTTGCCACAACAAATGGAGGTCCTGTTGACATTCATCGGGTTTGTTGTCTAGAGAAACTCTTATATTGCTTTTTATTTCTTTCATTTGTTCGTACTGACTAAAACTTATTCAAGGTTCTTGATAATGGTGTGCTAGTCGACCCACACAATCAGCAGTCAATTGCTGATGCACTCCTGAAGCTTGTTTCTGACAAGCAACTGTGGGCAAGATGTAGGGAGCATGGATTGAATAATATTCATCTTTTCTCGTGGCCGGAGCATTGTAAGGCTTATTTAGCTCGAGTAACAAGTTGCAAGCAAAGGCAGCCAAAATGGCGCAGAAACAATGATATTCATACTGAATCAGAATCTGACGCCCCTGGAGAATCCTTGAGAGATATTCATGACCTAAATTTAAATTTGAATATTTCATTTGATGGTGAAATTAATGAAGGGATTGGAAGTTCAAACAATGCTTCAACTTGCAGAGAAAATGCAACTGATGGGAAAAACCAGGTGAATGGTACAGCTTTGACCTTGTCCTTGGATGAGTCCATGGATAAAGCAGAAAGTAGCAAGTTTTCAGAATCGAGAAATGAAGCCATATATGTTATTGCAGTAGACTGCGATTCAACAGCAGATATTCTAGACATTACGAAAACAATAATTGAGGCTGGCAGGATCGATAGGAATGCAGATTCCGTCAGCTTCATCTTGTCTACAGCTTCAACTTTATCGGAGATTAACTCTCTTCTGAATAAGGGTGGTCTCAAGCCCAGTGATTTTCTTGCGTTCATCTGCAATAGTGGAGGCGAGATATACTACCCGTCTCCAGATTCCAGAGAAAATTCTTCTGGTTCTCCTTATATTGTGGATTCCGATTATCATTCACACATGGAGTATCGTTGGGGTAAAGAAAGTTTGAGGAATATGTTGGTTCGTTGGGCTACTTCCATAAATGATAAAATGGAAGGCAAGGACGGACCAGTTCTCTCTGAAGATAATTCAGGATCTTCACATTGCTATTCATTTAAAGTGAAGAACCCAGCACTAGTAAGTTAACATTTACAATAATATAGAGAGCTTCAATGACATCAGTGAACTCAACATCTTGTTCTCCATAATTTTAACTTTCTTCCCTTTTTGGGGTGAATGTGACCAGTTTTTTACTCATTTTACTCACTAGATATATTGTTCTCCAATTTGTAAAAAAAATTGTCTGTAGCTTCCTCCTTTCAAAGAACTCAGGCGATTGATGAGAATTCAAGCTCTTCGATGCCATGCTGCATACTGCCAAAATGGTACCAGGATGAATGTGATCCCCATTCTTGCTTCTCGAGCTCAAGCCCTTAGGTAATCATTCATCAAGTTGCTCACTACTTTCTGGTTCTTCCTTTACATATTGTACCTTACTTCAAAACTAATAGTATTAGCTTCATGTATGTTGAAATTATTTTACGACTTTCCGTACAGGTATCTGTATGTTCGATGGGGCATAAACTTGTCAAATGTTGTTGTTTTCGTGGGAGAGTGTGGAGATACTGATTATGAGGAATTGCTTGGTGGAATGCACAAAACTGTTATTTTGAAGGAAGTGTGCCGGGATGCCTCTAAACTTCATGCTAACAGAAGCTATCCTCTTGAACATGTCCTCCCAACTGACCATCCGTACACTGTTGAATGTGAACGATGTAACAAGGGTGATATTAGGGCATCATTGGGAAAACTAGGTTTTAATAAGGCTTAATTGAGCAAGTTATTTCCAGTTGTACCCCTTTTATCGTTTTCGTTATATACACTCCCTAGGCAATAGATTAAAACCTTTTTCAGTTGTTTTCCTTTTTCCTTGGAGCTACTTTGATAATGAGAATGCAGAACTAGAGTTTTACCACTATAACTAATTCAAACTTAGTGATGCACTTTCTTTCGATTTGCTTGCATTGTAAATTTTTATGTTATACTTTTGGGTCGCGCCCACTTTACACACCGCTAGCCATAGCTCAACTCCAATAACTTGTTACTCTTGCATCTTGTTAGAATAAAGAAATCTAGGAATTGCTGTGGATGTGTTTGCTAATACAACAATGCTACCTTGAACATCCGGGGTGTCTCGGATGACACATGTCACACCCCCCTCACACGCCCTCCATCCCTTCACGTGTGAAGGGGTGTCATCCGAGGTGTCAATCCCAAATATATAAGTAGCAGGATTGTTGCCAATATTGCTGACATTTTCAGAAAGAAAAGTTTGTACATGTTTGCATATTTTGAACCATATGCTCAATGTTCCAACATGCTAGCGACGGGCTGTAGGCCTCGAAAGGAGATTTAGGAAAATATGGGTTGCGATGGACTCAACAATGGACATAGACTTCATCCATAGTGAGTGAGGGGTTAGGACTTTGGCATATTCAATACATGGTTAAAGGAATACAGATTTTATTTACAGGTTCTACTGAAGTGTGACCGACTTCATGGCTAATCAATGTTTTCTAGAAGAATCGCCCCCAGGGCATATCTCACAGTGGAAAAGGGGTGGGCGGTTAGGGCTCAGCGCGGTAGTGTTCAGAGTTCGATTCCCCGC